TATTTGTAAGCCTTGTCATTGTGAAGAAACCTGACAAAACTTGCGTATGTGCTCATTAGTTAGTTAAGCTCCTTTTACAGGCAACCAAAGAAAGTGCATTATCTTAAATAATTGTGGTTTATTAACTTGGTGTATGTGTGAACTTAATGTAGATCTGTGAATATTATGGGGTAGTTTTTGTGCATTATTTTAAGTAACATATACTTGCTGCATTCAAAGTTTTGAAAGGAGGATGATTTGGAAAGAAAATGCAGCTATTGCACGAGCATTCCATACGTTCTGTAGTGGTCCTCTTTCTATATATGTAATTTTTTATTCAACTAAATTTGACCTTCGGCTTTCTAGCATGCGGTTTTATGGTCTGTTCCTCGTTGGTGTTGCCCATTTGCAGTTAATCCGACCCTGAAAATACCTTACAAAAAGTTGTGAATAAAAAGCTTTATATTTTGCCAAAAAATATAAATGTTACATGTATATAAATATACTTTTAAATGATTACTTCTGTGGATTGTACAGTTTCTCTTATGTGAAAGTGTATTTAATTTGTTCTGATTAATAGAGGTAGTGACCAAAAGACTTCCTTTTATATTAGTTTGATTATATTAGAGAGACATTTATAAAATTGAGGGAGAATCAAAAGTTACATTTATTTTCCAATGTCAGATGTTTTGAAATTTAATTTAATTTAATTTGAAATGAATACCAAATCAGCACTTCCAAATTTCTCTCTAGAAGGACTGGCAATCCGAGAAAAATAAATTTATCTCTTGTGTGACTTGAAGTTTTCAAAATATTGTTCCAGCCAAAATTAAATTTATGTCCGCGTGGGATAATCTTGTGCATATTGAAGCACTTTGTTTACTGTAAAGTTTGTAGAAAATGTGGCAACACAATACTGCTCACTGCCATTATTTTTGACTGTCTTTTGATTTTTTTAATTAAAAAATATAAATTCCGAATTTGTAACACTGTATTTAAGAATTTAATTTTGTATTACATATTGGGTGGCAGTATATGCACAGATGCCAATTTCCTATTTACCTTTCAGCGATCACAGTGACATTTGATTTGCCACTGATCCAGTATATGATATACATTAATAGTATTTTATGTATGTATGAGACATATCTTGCTCAGACAAAGGGAAGAGATGGGATTAATAAGGTTTATTTATCACTTTATGTGCCTTTTATTTGGGGGGGGAGGGGGACAAGAGAAGCAAACTACTCTTCGGATAAAATCAAAGATAACTTTATACTGAGTTCGTTACTGAAAATGTAAGTTGGAATGACGACTTTCACTGGTGTTGATATTTATTTTTGTCACAAATAAATAGAATTTCCTTGATTTTCACCATTTAACACAACATTATAAGGCAAAACAGGACTTAATGATGCTAAATAGTACTGTCAGATGCAGTGGGATTATTTCAACTGTGACTTAAATAATTGTTATTTTTAATTTTCATTGTATGTAAGTGACTGACCACAGTTCTGAAGTTAGTGAATGGTATACAGAAATGATAAAACTGCAGGTGTGTATTATCACAATATAATACATTGTATTATTAGATATTAGCCATCCACCTAGAATTAGGTGTGGAACGTACAGTAATTCATTCAGCCTCTATAAAGAATTCTATCTTATTACATTTTGGGGCAATCTTTGTGTGTACTATTCGCCAAAGAACTGGCATACAGTGTACATATTGTATATTTAAAACTTAATAAAAACTAGAACATTGGTTGTAATTTTGACGAAGTAAAGACCGGATGAGTTTACATGCTAGTAGACTGTCATTCTTACATTTTTTCAGTTGGATCATTTTTTCCATGAGGCTTAGTTTCATATGTTGTCTTTTTAATGTACAGTATAAAATAAATGCTGTGATTATTATTTTCAATATATATATTTCATGAGATTGTTAATTTACCATGAGTGTATTAAATCGCCTTTCTTTACTCATCCTATGAATAAAAATTATTTCTATCTGAGTATTTGGTATTTCTTATCCGAGATAATATATCATGTACAGAAGAAAAAAAGTTCTGAACTGGTAAGTGTAACTCATATTTTTCGTGCAGTGAACATGGTGCAGAATTACTATACCATTATGACAAAAATAAATGTTGTCTCAATTGAAATAAAGTATAACACTTTCTCTGACTGATTACAGTGGCTGTGTTTTTTGAAGTGTGCATGGTTGTTGGCTGAACAAATGCTGGGGTTGTGGGTCCAAATCCCACTTATGACATAGACACACACACATACTTCATCACCATAATCATAAAGTTAGGTTAGGTTCTGCCATAATCTGGCTCCACATGCAGGTGAAACATTTTTTAACGTTTCTGGAAAACATTCTCCAGGACTAAGCAAAACAAGGAAATCTGAGAAAATAATTCTTGTGATTTAGATGTGACACTTTATTTCTAATCCCTTAATTTTTATTATTTATATTTAATAAATTTATTTTGCCATACGAGGCTGATATGCCTCTAAATTCAGGTTGCAAAGAACGCATGGGGGTTTGATCTGTATTCGGATGCAGAATCAAATTTTCCGAGCTTGTTATAACAACTTCTCGTCTAGTTCGGCAATTCCTCGACTTTTATGGAACCCTGAAGGCCATTATCGTTCACAAGATCTTGGAACTTGCCCTGTCGTAGGCCAGATGAATGTAATTCACAACTCCATCTCCTTGAAAGCCATTTTAATATTCTCTCATTTGCACCAAGTATTCGAACCGGTGTCTTACCTTCATTCTTTCAAATTAAAATTATATATTATGCATTTCTGATCTCCTATGCGTGCTTCATGCCCCGTTCATCACATCCTCCATGATCTGAGTACTTTTAAAACACGTATTGTACAGTACTTCGTAAATGTTATGTCGCCATGTTTGCTTGTGTTTATAAACACACAAACGTGCTTGTGTGTGACGCCACACGAGACGAAGCGCCTTGTGTTTGGTTGTTGCGCCGTGTAGTCTAGTCTGCTGGAAGTTTACCGACGTTTCAGAGGCCCTTGCTACCTCCATTAACACTCCAAGAACTAATTAATAATATTGAACATCGTACGTAACCATCACAGCCGATATTTCGGTGAACGTTTGTCACCCTGTCGTTTACTGCTGTCGGCGGATGCTAGAAGTCAAAGAGTGGTCGTTTCTGAACATCTGCAGTTATTTCCGCACGTACCAAAAAAGTGTTGCAGACACAAAATATCAACGTGACGGGTGTTTCTTCTTTATTAAAGTATATAAGCGTTTCGGGACACTCCCTATACGTGTCTATACGTTTTAATCCCTTTCGGAAGATTCTGTTGAAACTTGATGTACGGAACTTTTGTTCCGGAGAACGAACATTATCAAGCGCAAGTGTCATTTGAACTTAACCTAACTTACGTTATGAGGCTAAATATGCTGGATCTTTCGAGCCCTTCGATAGACTTAATGATATATTACAAGTATAAAGGACGTAAATGCACGTTTCGTCTTATTTCGCTTGTTCTGAGTGAAGGTCACAGGAATTCATTAGACGTGTGATATATGGCGTAGACCTCACAATATTTGCATCAAGGCCAATTCTTTGGAAGAATTGACGATACAGTGACCGTAAAATCTGAGTGACAAATGCGCACCATCGACCCTGATAACTGATTCAGTGTTCCACCGCTCACCCTACAGCGTTTCGCCTCATAAAAAGGGATTAAGAAACTATTTATGTATCTGCATGCAAATCCTTGTCCTATAAGGGAGCAGGCATATAACAATAAAACGTAACTCATATTGAATAAAAGTATCGACAATGAATCAGTGCGTGCGTGTTATGAGTCGTGTTACGGAAGATAAGATACTGCACTTTTCTAAATGACGTGCGATCATACAACTTTTGTTGTCAAAGCTTGCAGCACACGGCACTCCAGTTGCGGAACACCTGTCCATTTTCCTGCTACCGAACCACCACACAATCGAAACGCAACTTTCAGTGCCGTGCCAAGTGCATTTGTCAGATTTTGCTTGTAAGCAGAAAGCAAGTTTGGGAACCTTGTCTGAGAGAGACAGGCAGAGTTAGAGAATAGTTTCCTGGGATGAGTGTACAACAGCAAATATCGCCGCTGATGCTGCCTGAACCAAAAATAGCTCGCTCACCATCTTTCCTTATTCATTTCGCCGGCAGCACCTGATAGTTCTCCGCCAGGGGCTCTCTAAAGGCTGATCCCTTTACCTTCCCAACGTGCTTGCTGATTCTGAAGCTTAGAAGAGAAAACAGCAGGGAAAAATAGGGATTTTTGAATGATTTCAAGCCTTGTGTAAGTTTACTGGCAGCAATACGCAACTACCGTCCTCACGCATCAAGAATTATCAGTATTTTGCAGGGGGGCAGCGACACGCGCAACCGGCCGACGGCAACGAGCGAAGACTGCGTTCTGAGGGGGTAGGTGCACTGAACAGATCGGCGTTTCTGCAGTGGTGGCCCACTTCGACGCTGCAGTCGCGGGGAGGCGGTGGGGCTGGAAGCACGGGTGTTAGCAGATCATCATCGATCCCCTCTCGAACGTCTGATTCTCGAACTCTCGACCTCAGTCCGGACTAAAACAATTCCGATCACAGGAGAAAATTATTGGCGTAGGACAGTGGTTATTTTGTGAATCAAGATGCCGTTAATTGTGATAAACAGTGCTTATCCCTAGGACTCAAACCGAGTTTCACTTTAATACAAGAAAATCGTTTCTTCACTGAAGTAGAGGAGTTTCTTCAGGATGGCTGACAGCGAAGGAGGTTCTGAGCAAGATGATGTTTCATTTCTTCGTACTGTAAGTTGCATTCTTATTTTTTTAATTCAGTAGCCTGTTGAATCCAATCACATGGAGCGGTGAACACCTAGGTGACCAGATGTGGACAGGTCATGTGTTTTTCTTACTTTTTCGTTCAAGACGAAACATTCTTACGTCATTTCTTACTGTTCTGCCATTACTAATTTTCGTTGCTTCGGAACTGATTAATAAAATTATAATTTACTACTTTATTATCAGTTTTGACTTTAAGGTACTGAATCGTCAACAGCTATGATGCGAGTGTCTTATATTTCTAATATTGTGATCGTAGAAGAACTGCATTGGAGTTAGGTTAATATTCTCATACTTACCCTCATTTAAAAGAAAACATTTTCAGTACCCAGTCCATTTTCATTCTGCTATTACATTGTGTTTCGGACACATAACAGGCGAAACTGGTCAATGCGCAGACTGAGGTAAAATTTAACAATGGATTTTTACCTCGTCGTTACTTCCTACCTGTTGAATGATTCGTATCATTACACTTTCATGATGTTACTTACTCACCACATTCTCCCGAAGATTATGCAAAATTGCGAGTTGAGAACAATACAGTCACATAGTGGCTTTGGTGATTTGGGTTTATCTGTGTATCCTCTGAATGAATGTCGACGCCGACTGGTTAGCTCTAGTGCTTGTGTTTCATGAGGTGCCGGGTTCAAAACTTTGCCCGGGTGCCTCCTAGTCTGATTGAGGTTTTACGTAGTATTCCTCATTGTTAGATAGTTCCCACCTCTGGCACCAGAACAGAGCACCGATGTCCACCTCACGACCTTCATCGTCCCCTCGTAGGATACTCAAGAGGTCGTGCAGAGTAGAACAACTTCGACATCAAATTTAATCCAGATCCGTCCGAGTTGTTCTCGTGTTGAATCGATCGGACAAACGGGCGGACACGAGGTCCAACCCGCACTGCATTCCTCTATTCCACTTTTGCACGTGGCCTGTCCTTGGTGCGAGCAGTCTTGCTCTCTCGCCGCCACAAACGGACTCTGACTTCGAGCTGCGGCGAGCCCAGGTCTCAGCTGTATCGCCGTTCATATAAATAAACTGTTGCAGAATTTCCCTTACTTTTGTAATCTCATTAATATCGTCAGAGTCTTTTGACAGATTTTGATGGGGTTTGATGTAATACAGGTATTAACGTATACAGCGAACTCAAAAAAATTGAAATGTACTAATTTCAAGGCAGTTATAAACTCAATGATTTAACCTCGAAGAATGCGAAATCACATGCGCAAAGCAGGAAAAATATTGTAAATTTGAAGATTATTTTAGCCATGAATGGCGATGGTCCTTTCGAAGTGGGGGCTTGATCGCCATCAGGAGAGTGCACCATTGAAAATACCAGTGCCCCCCTCCCCCGGGAGGGGCAGAGTTACAAGCTCGCAAGTCTTTTCTGTTGCAACAGCGTAAAAGATGTAAAATAGCCTTACTGAGAGCCTCAGGCCAAGAGCAGCTGTTGAGGGGCGGGGGGGGTTCCTGCTCTGAATTTCATTCTCCCGAAATGATCGGGACACGTGTTCTGGTTATGACGACTTGTCATGTGCGCGGCCACGTGTGATGTGCGCTCACCGGCCATGTTCATTATCTTCGTATTAGAGTAACTCAAGGAGGACAGCAAATGGCCCATTATTTTTGCCTCGGAGACACGGCGCTGTAGAATCAAGATGTCTCCTTCCGGGACGTTATTTTGTGGACTTGCCAGGGAAGCCTCGAGAGTGCTTCGTGGTTGTTGCTTCTATTTTCTACCGTGGGCGTCTGTCCAACTAAATCGAACCGAATTTGTTGAAGCGATTCCACATTGTTGGATTTATGTTAAAAGTAAGCTGAGATTTTATTAAGCGTCTCATAATAATATACCAAAGCGGAAGGGAAGTAGGTTCAGACCGGAAGTTCATCTGATCCACGCATGGTACGTACTTTGCCCGCAAGAGTGCAGTAAAATCTGTTTCAAATTTTAAGCCCCAAGTGCCGTGATTTTCAAAGGTTTCGCTTTCCAGGCAGCCATAATAACGGACTGTAAATGTGAAGGTTATTATGCAAGTCACAACTCGTAATAATGTTAGACCACGCACATGAAACAAAATGCGAGATCATTTCTGTATAAAATAACAAACTGCTACATGATGATGATGATACCGGCGACTATGACGACGAGTGATGTGGCTCTCGGACAAATTCCCACCCCGAGAGCAGAGCACAGAAATTTCCTTTAGCGGCTAATCAAGAACTGACGTGTCTTTCGAAAACCTGTTTATTGTTCATGGCTGCAATTACTGAAGTCCCCTTACACTGGACGCTGTTCTGAGCAGACTCATTTTAAGTTTGTGTCATTACAAGATCCACCAGGATGAATAATTGGTGCATCTCCGTTGAACTTCATGTTCAGTGGAAGAATCTGACGGTGGATTAGGTTAGGTTAGGTTAGCTTAGGTTAGATTAGGTTAGATTACTTTAGGTTAGGTTAGGTTAGGTTAGGTTACTGTAGGTTAGGTTAGGTTAGGTTCTTACCACAAACTCTTACGAGCTATAGGGTGGGACCACAAAGTATTAACGCCTTTCCTCTCTTTATCCTGGGTTCGAGTACAGTTTTTGCTGAATTTTATTTGTGACAACACTGTTTTGGAGAAATGAGAGCTTTACTGTATCCGGAAGGTGCGTTAAGCCCCGCAGTCTTCGTCACGATATTAAGCGGAGGAACGTTCCATCAGGAGGCCCGAGTCGCGTGTCATGAATGCATTAATTTTGCTTCTGACAACACAAATTAGATCCTGCGCGTGTCGTCACTCGGAGCACCGAGCAGGAAGTTAATTCCCACGCGTGCAAACAACTTTGAAGTGCCTTAACTAAAGCCGATAGACAAGAACTATAATACAAAGACTAATATTATAATTAAACAAAACGTACACATTCAGGATTGTTTATAGCAATGAGGTTAGAGGCTCGAAGCATTATCAACTCGAACAATTTCGTCTGAAGTCGAAATGAGCACCTAATCGATGTCATTCGAGTTGCATCTTCGTGCCCGTCGACACCTGCGATTAACCGGAATAATTTGTATTATTTAAAAAAAAATATGGGCTTGATAATACATAAGCGACCTCTTCACTAGAAACGAAACTTGTCTTAATGTTCATTTCTGATGACTTTTCAGCGTTGATTCACGTTTCTCTGTCACTGCGTCGATCCACCGACGTCTAAGTGATTGGACACTCATGCGTGTGGGCGTGCCTGGTCTTGCACTAGAGAGGAATTATCAGTCGCGTCAGAAAGACGCACAGAAGAAGGAGTCGTGTGAACGCGGAGAAAGCTGATAATGTCTACAAAGCCACTCGACTGGCGCCTGCTTTTAGTTGCAATTGAACGGGACACATCGACTATCGGCATTTGCGGATGATGTTAATTTATTGGGGGACGACGTAAATACAATAGAGAGGAACGCAGAAGTTTTACTAGAGGCTAGTAGAAAGGTGGGGCTAGAAGGAAATTCAGAAAAAACTAAGTATCTCGTCGTCAGCAGACAGGCGGGAAAAATTCACTTAGGGTGGCTCCTCCCCTAGTATTGTCGGTGAATGAGATGGGCGGGGCATGCAGAGCGCATGGATGGGACAAGAGGTGTGCACCGGGTATTGGTTGGGAAGCCTGAGGGGAAGAGACCTCTGGGGAGACCTAGACGTAGATGGGAGGATAATCTCAGGCGGGATCTATGGGAGATAGGAGTTGAAGGAGACTGGATTTTGTTGGCCCAGGACAGGGTCCGGTGGAGGGCTTTGGTTAATTAGGCGATGAACCTTCGGGTTCGGTAAGCCATCTGGTTGGTTATGTTGCATCAGATGGCCAAAAGTGACGAGCTCCACAGAAGAAAGCCATAATTCTGCTACAAAAGGAAGGCAAAGAACATGTCGGGCGCACGAATTCTGTTTCACCTGTAAACACGTGGACGGATTGTGCATTTGTGTCTTGGCCTCTTGTTTTTTAAATAAAGACTACGTTAATTAATACGCGATTCACGAATCGAGTGGTGGCAAAATGAAACTGTCCTCGTTGCTTCCAGTCAGTGTTTTGTTTTTCTTCTGTTGTTCGCGTGTCTGCGTTAAATCTGATATCCACCGCACGTACTAATCAGTGCTCGAAACACTTTATAAACAGGCGGCGGTGGAAATGACATGCAAATTACCGCTTTTAAATCGATATTAAAATTGCGTCTCACGAAATCTTAATTTTCACACCAAACATTACTAAAGTCACTAATCGATTTTCGATGTCGAGTCGTTATCTCGATTCGAAGCCTCACATCGTACATTAAATAAAATTATTTTTAATTTCAGCCAATAACATTCATTGAACGAGAAGGCGTGGTTCATCAGACACTCAGTGAGTTCGCATTTTCGCTGCTCTCTTTTTATGTGTTAAAGATCGAAGTTTCTTCGAGTGTTAACTGGAATTAAGACGGAAAGAGAACTGCTCTCTGACAGTTGTTCAGATCTTCTTAACTTGACATAGACGCAGGGGAGATTCTGGAAAGAAATCATTTGGAAGACCTAGGTGTAGATGGATGGACAGTGTTGACATTAAGCTTGTAATTCTAAACACGGTGACACTGGTGTCGTGTAAATCGGGGAAGTTGTTGACCAGCTGAGCGAATATCAGCTTATGAAGAGAGAGAATTTTGTTTAGAGAAGTTGTGTCATGTAAATTATCGGCGAACGATCGTTTAATAGGCCATTTGAATTCTCAAAATGTAATTCTTTTTGTGTTATGCGTGTCGGATTCTTTAATACGCGACTACGATTGCCTACGATTTCCTGATCAGGTCTGTCGAGACCTCGGTCTTAAAAGACTTTGTTCAGATCAAGGAAGTCCATTCATGAGTTTCGATAGCGAGCATTATTAAATATGTCACAGCCTCTGCTTGGCAGATGCACTAAGGTCATCGGCCACAAATAGAACGCAGATGTGCTGGCGGTCACACTCTCGGTATGTGCTGTTACAAAACAACAAAGCGTCTCGACCTGGACTTTGGCTCAATCCGTGGTTCTCAGACTAATTTCCGTCCACCTGCACTTTCTTTCTTGGGTCCCCCACCCCCTGCCACCGCTTCGTAATGATTCCCAGTCTAACGAAGTTGTTTCATTAGTTTTTGCGTGCGTGAACTTGCGCCTGGAACATCTGTTTTGTTTTAGACAGTTTCCGAAGTTCCAGTATTACCAACTATACTCAGGGTTTTCTTAAAATTGCCTCTCCTGAACCTAAGGCGCGGGAAATTTCGGGCAATGTCTTTGTCTACGTTCGGTACGAACTTCGACGGAAGATTCAGCTGCCCTGACTAAGGCTTCATTTTCCCCTGCACATTCAAATGAATAACAGAGCAAAACCTCGAAATAAGTCACAACGCCATCTTGTATTTCCTACGGGGTCACTAGGCGTAATCATCTTTAAATCTAATTCTAAGTGAAAATTAACTCTGCAGTTGCCAAAAAATTAGGTCTACGAGGGAATTTGAGCAACAATTAATAAATCTACAGTTTCGACACTCATTTTGAACAGCCTTTTATTTCATCAGAACGCATTTTACGAGAAAACTTTTACGGTTCTAAGTAATTCTCCACAAATGCGCAACTCTCGTGGCTTCCCATCATGCATCACCGCGATCTTCACTCCAGGAATTACAAGTATTTCTCTGCTATCGCTTACGCGGTCGAGCCTAAGTCTTTGATAATAATGTGTTTTATGAGTTTAAACTAAACCACGAGTTCTGAACACATTTGCAGCCATTAAGAAGCACGCCACGCTGTCTCGTGCAATGTCAGATGCAGCAAAGTCGTTTTGGTCGAATTTACCGTCGAATTATCATTGTTTTTAGCTCAGGGTAATACGGTAAATGCTATTACAGAGTCAAAGTAATTTAACCCTTAAAGTATTTCTGCGTCTGTCAGTAATGTCCGCTCCTAAAATCCTCAATACCAATTCGTTATTAATACGAAGTGCACATGCGAGCCTCTGTAGTATTATTATTAGTGTTCTGTCTGACGACAGCCATTTTATTGTCCACGATATCGGTAATTTTGAAATGATTTTGCCACGTAGGAGTGCGTCACCAACAGCAAGGAAAATAAATGCCGAGGGATCAGACTCCATCTCCGAAATAAAATGAACGATATTGCACGGACGATTTAGAAACATTTGATTGGAACAAACCCTGACACAGAAGAGTGCAAACACCGTCTTTGTCCATGCGCCTTACGAAGTTGGAATACAAAACACTCGCGTAATAATTAAACAAAGAAGTTGGTCGCCTTGCAAAAACCGAACGAATTAAAAAAATAACAAACGGGAAAGAATAAATGTGTATGTTGGCACCAACAATGGCACTTGGTATCGAAAGTCGACAATGCGACCTGCAAAACGCGTTGCCTCTCGAATCAGATAATCAACAATGGACGAGTTAAACAAACCGGAAAGTGTCAAAGAAAGACAGATTTAAAAGTTAAATAATGTGAGGGATTTTACGAGTTTCAGAGGATGAAGACCTGACATCGCGTGTTACAAACGTGCGTGGGAATGTTATGGGGCTTCCTTGACGTCCATACACATTCTTGTTTCACTGTAACCTATACAGAACTATGAAGGACAAATACAAATTACAAGAAATATACGACTCGGTCCTGGTAATTCAGCAGCTCAAAATGAAATGCACACCCGAGACCGTTTGGTCCTAACTACAAGTTAGAACAGCAACAATTGCACACGTAATGCATTCGGAACATTGCATATATTCACAAGATACTCTTTATAAACAGGCAGTTTAATGTTTCAGTGCTTTTTTAAACATGCTCTGCTCATTCATTCCCCGTTTCCACTAACTCTATCTCTCTCTGTCTCTGTTCGTAGGAAGACATGGTGTGTCTGTCGTGCACTGCCACCGGCGAGCGAGTGTGCTTGGCGGCCGAGGGCTTCGGAAACAGACATTGCTACCTGGAAACGATCGCAGATAAGGCAAGTCCTCATTCGGCTTTCTCTCTCTGCATGCTATGATCCACAAAGCACTGGATTTCCCCTTCATGTTGATACGAAGGGCTGTTTTTAAAGTGACTAAACTTTGGGTGTTTGAACAGATAACGAAGTGACATAACCTCGTTGTTTGTCTCTGAAGTGACTGGCTAGAGTG